CCGGTCCCCTCCGGGTCGGGCGCTTGGCTCCCTCCGGTACAGCGGGAGGACGGCTCGGCCCCGCTGCGGCGTGCGCTCTCCGTCCACTTCTGTCTGCCCCCGCTTCTCCCGGGTTGTTCCCGGCAGCGGCTGCCGCCTCGGGACACACACGCACACTCTCACACCGCGACACGGAAACCCATTCTTGCTACTCCCTGGGACCTGAGGAACCCGCGCAGAGAAGTGACCCTCCCCGGCCTTCCACTTCCTCCCCCAGCAGGGCGCGTGGTCGAGTTGCGGGAGGCTCTACTGCTGTCCGGGAGTGGGGTGGGGAGCCCCGGCAGCAACAGGATGGGGGGATACGGCACGAGACAGGCCAGACTCCGGGATGGGGACTGCAGCCGGGGGACTCGGGGCCGGGTTTCCATGATTCCCGCGGGGAGAGCGGGTGAGCGGAGCGGTCTGGGTCCCCTCCGGCCCGGGCTCCTGCCTCCCGCCCGGAGGACAAGCCCCGTTGCTGCCAGGCTCTGCGTGGGCTGCTGCCTCCCTTCGACATGGGCGCTCAGAATTTGCTCGCTTTATTTCTCTCCTTTCCCCTGGAGCCCCCGCGGCAGCAGAGGGACCGCCCGCGCGTCCCCGCCCCGCCCGACAGCCCCGGCCGTTCCGCTCGTGCGCTCACGCCCTCCCTGGCTTTGCCGCGGGGTCTGAGCCCTCCGGTGGTGGGCACAGCCCTTGGACAGCCGACAGCGAAGGCAGCGGGGCGGGGACGCTCGGTTTTCCAAGCCCCACTTTCCTTTCTCGGCCCACTGGGATGTGTAGTTCTTCTCGCCGTCCGGCTCCGAGAGGAAACACGACTTGTGAACCAGAAAACTACAAATCCCTGCATCCACCGCGACGAGGGCGGGAGAGGCACGGTGCTGGGCATTTCTGGTGCTGGGTGGTTGGAAAGGAGAACGAACAAAGAGAATGGTAGGGATTGGCCGTTTCTTCTCTGTGCAGGAACTTAACACGTTACACACGTTCTTCATCTAGTCTTAACCACAACCCTCCGAGACACGATTGTATCCAGCTCAGAGAACCCTCGACTACTAGCCAGAGATCACAAAGCGCCGGGGAGGTAGAGATGGGATTGAACCCAGAGCCTTGAGAATTTCCCCTTACAAAGCCTGGGTGAGCAGTGTCAAAGGGAGATGAGATTGGTTTATCCAAGAGAAAAAGAACTGGGACCAGTTAGGAAGAGCTTCCTATAGTAAGGAAGAAGTAGTGGGATGGCAATTAGAGAATGACATGAAATTATAAGGAGTTATGGGGAAAAAACGGAATTTACAAGCGTCCATTCCAAAGCAGGTTAGGGGAATGGGTAGGATCTTATACAATGGGAATTGGGTTCCAATGCTTTTAGCTGTTGCATGATGGACAAGCATCTTATGGGGACAATTAAATACTTTGTGGCTGCATGTTTAAAAAAAAAGAAAACAACTGGCAAGCCTCAGACGTTTCAAGTGAAAGTTTTCATATGCTTTCCTGTCCTTGAGCTCATGTGATCAACGGGATGTTATTCGATTTATTACAAGCACTTTTTTGAGTGTGTCTAGTTAATACACTAGATCCATTGACTTGATGGCTTTAAAAAAGACTCTCGTTCTTGTTCTCAGTTAAGACCTAATTTTCCTGGCATCGTGGTTATGCTTTTTAAAGTCGTCTGTTAGGGACACATCTAACTATTTGCATGTGCTTTAAATTACTCCAGCCCATCCACCTCCAAAAACCACGAAGGTATCAATGAACCAATATCAGGAAACTGTTGAAAATTATTAGTCATCTATTGCAGCAAATTAGCATAAACTTAGCAGCTTAAAACAACACAGATTTATTATCTCACAGTTTCTTTGGACAGGTGTCCAGATACCTGGAGTCTTCTGCTCTGGGTCTCACACCTGCCATCCAGGTGCTGGCCTGGCTGTGTTCCCATCTGGAGCTCAACTGAACAAGAATCAGCTTTCCCGTCACTCAGGTCACTGGCAGAATTCATTTCCTTGCAGCTATTGCACTGAGGACCTTGGCTTTTTGCTGGCTGTCAGCCAGGGGCTGCTCTCAGCTCTTAGAGGGCACCTGGAGTTCATTGTCAGGTGGGCTTTCTCAACATGGCTACTTCAACAAGCCAGCAAGGAGAATCTCCAGAGAGTCTGCTAGCAAGATGGAATCTTCTTATATAACAAAGTAATCACACAAGGGTGACATCAAATGTGCCATATTCTATCGGTGAAAAAGCAAGTCACAGGTTTCCCATATACTCAGGGGAGGGCATTATACACACAAGGGTATGGACACTGGGATGAAGGGCCACTCTAGGGTCTGTCCCCACAGTGTACAAAGCAGTCTGTTATGCTATTCTTATCTGTTACTTCTGCTTATGTTTACGTTTGAAACTTTCCTTAATAAAAAGAATTATTTCTTTTAATTATATCTAAATTATAAGTAAGTTTCTAGATAAGCTGATACTATTGTTTACAGTTGTCTTCCCAAGAATTCCTTGTTTCTTCTCAGTCCGTGTTTACTGAAACCTAGGTCAATTAATTCACATCAGACACATACCTGAGGCAGTTCACAAGAACCTGGCATGAGAGCCGAGGGTTTCAGTTCACCACCTAAAAGCTCTTCTGTAAGGTGTGGTATAGCTCATTCATTTCACAGTTATTTATTTAGGAGCCTAGTTGGTGCTAAAGTACTATTTTAGCAGAAGGGGTATGAAAGGATATAGAAGCTTGTATACTGGGGCTAGAGGGAGAGGTGGAGAGACCACACAATAAATGCAAATAAAATGCAAACAATGAAAGCAAATAAATGACTAAATGATAAGACAATTTCAGAGAGTGACTACTACAACAACAACAACAACAACAGAGTCGTGGGATAGTGAAACAAGTGGGCCAGAGACTTGGTGGAAGGAGATATTTGAGCAGAGAACCAAATGGTGAAAAACGTCAAGTACAACAACCTCAAGGCAGATCAAGCCTAGAGAGTTCGAGGGGAGCAAAGAAAAAAGTCTGGCTGGAATGGAGTGAGGGACAGGGTGCGTAGTAAAGAAGTAAGGCTGAGAGGTTACAAGACTGGTGAGGCCTCTGGAATTGATTCTACGTGAACTGGAAAGTCGCTGGATCTGTGACCAGCATTGTATTAAGTGTCAAGGGATCAGAAAAAAGAGTAACATACAGTACTTGCCCTCAGGGAATATACGGATTCTAAAATATAATGCTAGAAGGACCTCAGTGCATCTAGAATTAAAGACCAAAACATTTGTTTTGCATAGGAGGAAATTGAGGCCCCAAGAAGGAGCCACCTGCTAAAAATTCCTTGAGAATGCCCCACAATTACAAGTAATCCATAAATGAATCTTGAATTGAAAGAGTTTCTCTGATGTAAAGCTTTAGAAAACTAACAAATATTTATTTAGTGCCTGTCATATGCACAGCAGTGTGATAAAGAGGATAAATATGACATAGAAGCTACCATATAGTTCAGGAGACAAGATCAAGACATATGAGAAAGAAACTAATACAATAAAAATAACTATCTTTTCTAGAGTCTTTTCTCATATTAGCCAATATCCTACCCTGGTTCTTTATATATTTAACTCATTAAATCCAGAGGACAGTCTAATGAAGCAAAGATTATTACTTT